CCTAAATCCTCGTCTCTACCAGGCCTCACAGCCCCACTGTTAGGTTACAGAGCGGCGCGACCCACCCCTACCCTCGACTACAGTGCACTTTCGAAAGCCTACAGTGCAAGGAACAGGGGCGGCGGGCAGAGTAGAAACCTAACTCCTTGTCTCTACCAGGCCTCACGCCCCCACCGCTAGGTTACAGAAAGGTGCGACCCACTCCTACCCTCGACTACCGTGCACTTTCGAAAGCCTACAGTGCGAGGAACAGGGGCGGCGGGCAGAGTAGAAACCTAAATCCTTGTTTTTCCAAGGATTGCAGTCAGCTGTGGAATCTTAAAAAAGATATCTTCCAAAGGCTTGGCGGAACGTTGTGGGGTCCAATCCGGGTGTATCCCACCCCCTTACGCACGGGGTGGTTCAAACAAGAGGGTAGCCCCTGGCCTATTTTCGGAAGACTGCAGTGCACTTTCGAACGACCGCAGCGCATGGAACAGGGACCTCGGACCGAGTAGAACCAAAAAAATCCTTGTTTTCCCAAGGATTACAGTCAGCGGCGAAATCTGAAAACATATCTTCGACACCAACTGGCCCCTGTAGCTCAGTTGGTACACCCCTGAATTGTTGAAATGCAGACCTGAGTTCGAACTCCACAAGAATCAGATCAGTAAAATACGACACTAGTTGGTACACCCCTGAATTGTTGAAATACGGACCTGAGTTCGAACTCCACATGAAGCAAATCAGTAAAATACTACAATTCTGAATTACCCACGGCCCGTCAGTTTGATGATGATATTTCAGTACGATCCTGGCCCAATGGCGCTTGGCTTCCAAGTTTGATGATATTTCAAGGCCGTCGCCCTTCTTCTCGTTTTTTGTTTTCCTGTTTTTGTTCTTTTTTTTGCTCTGTACTTCTCCACCACTGTTCTCTAGATTTGTCTAGTTTTTTCCCCTTTTTCTTTCTTAAAACTAAGCTATATTCTTTTTTCTCAATTTCACCTTTCACTACCTACCTACGACTACTCCTAAGCCTATAGAGGGGACCCCTTAGTCCTTACCCCCCCCTGATTTGTGCTAAGCCTTCCGTTTCAATGCTCCTTCCGTTTCAATGCTCCTCAAATATTGGGCCTCACCACTCCACTCACGACACAAGTGCAAATGCATCTTCCTGCAGAAGGTGGCCAGATACGTCTGTTACTATTCGTAGTAAGGAATGGAATTTCGTACCTCCTTCTGGAAAATGGCAACAGCCATATTTCACTGTGCAGGACCGTAGTATCGAAACACACTCACAACCTGTGGCGCCGAGCCGGTCATGAAAACATGGCACAGGGTAATCAAAATATCAGGGATCGGTATACTAATACATAGGGCCTCACTCCACTACACAACATAGTGAATGCACCTGGACCTGTCAGAAGTCGATACATTCAGAATGTTCCATCAATCCAAATTATCTGGTCCACTTTCCAGTCCAGGTACTTGTCAAATGTTGAGTAGTGGAGCAAGGCCCGTACCTCCCACAAGTCGGTCATGAAAACATGATGGGGGGCAATCAAAATATCAGGGATCAGTATGCTAATACACAGGGCTTTGCTCCACTACACAGCATACTGAACACACCTGAATCATGTTAGAGGTCCCGTACATTCAGATGGTTGGATCAGCCCAAATGTATTGAGTCTACTTTCCAGTCAAGGTGCTTGTTGAATTTTGAGCAGTGGAGCAAGGTCCATACCGTCATGGGCGGAAAGAGCAGTGTGCTCAGCAGGCATGACACCGACGATTCGGATGTATCTTCCATTCGCCGCGGTATCCCCACATCATATTGCCCTTTTTTTTGCAGATCACGCGAGCTCACATTATTTTAATTTCTTTGCCTTTTGTTCATCTTCTTGTGCTTTATGTGCAGGGGCGAGGTCCCATTAGCAGTCGGATAGGAGTGTGGCCTATCCAGTGTGACACTGAGTGGCAGCGGCCCGACAAGTTCATTACGAATTTCTGGGCTGAGAAAACAGGAAAAAGGACCAAAAAAAAAGAAGAAACAGAGATGTCCCACCGGAAATCACAGCAGCGTGCTTCCCAGCCATCAGCTCACAAAGAGGGAAGTACGTTTATGTCACATCACAGTTTGAAATTGGCAATAAAAACACGCAGCGGCAACTTTGTCATGCCCGAAGTTCAAAAAGGCAGTTGTAACTCGGGTCGGCAGTGGAGTCAGGGTTGTAGTTTGCAATAGGTGCTTGTGTCGGGTCAGGTACCGGTCCGCTCTCAGGTACTACAGTCCCACATTTTTTCAGTTCCGGTACTCTACCTCTCCGGGAAAGGCCTGTCCCATTTTTCTTTTTGGCATAGGGAGGGACCGGACTGGTTACGGGTACTCTTCATTTCCGGGGCGCAGACGTGCCCCTGCCGTTCCATCGTCGGTACCCCCTTGGGCCCCTTCAACCTTCCAGGTAAGTGCTGCGCCAGAGCCACGTGTCAGAGAGAGGGGAAGAGAGAGAGAGAGAGAGAGAGAGAGAG